ANATGTTCGGACACACGTCATCGCATCCTTGTACATATCCTTGATGAGGGTAATGTACTTAGATGGGACTTTGTGCTTTTCTAAGGCCCACCACATGACATTTCTCGGTACTCTGTCATAAGCCTTCTCAAGGTCGATAAAGACCATGTGCAAGTCCTTCTTTTGGTCCCTATATCTCTCCGTCAACTGACGTATTAGGAAAATCGTCTCCATGGTCGACCTTCCAGGCATGAACCCAAATTGGTTTTGGGTCACACTCGTCACTCGTCGTAGGCGATGCTCGATAACCCTCTCCCAGAGCTTCATCGTATGGCTCATCAACTTAATCTCACGGTAGTTACCACAGCTTTGAACATCTCCCTTGTTCTTGAAGATCGGTACTAAAGTACTTCTCCTCCATTCATCAGGCATCTTGTTTGACCGAAAAATGAGGTTAAAAAGTTTAGTTAGTCATGCTAACGCTCTGGCGCCCAAGCATCTCCACACCTCAATGGGGATACCATTAGGGCCCATTGCTTTACCTCCATTCATCCTCTTCATAGCCTCTCCGATCTCTGCCTCTCGAATTCTTCTCACCACGCGTCTATTGGTATCCTCAAATGAGTCATCCAACTCCAGGGTAGGACCCTCACTCTCCCCATTAAACAATTTGTCGAAGTACTCTCGCCATCTGTCCTTGATCTCCCCATCCTTCACCAGTGGCCGATCCGACCCATCCTTAATGCATTTGATTTGGTCGATGTCCCTTGTCTTCCTCTCCCGAATCTTAGCCATCCTATAAATGTCTTTCTCCCCCTCCTTCGTGCCTAGGCGCTGATAAAGGTCATCATAGGCTTGTTCGCTACACTCACGGCACGCTTTGAATCCCTTCTCGCTATTTTATAGCTCTCAATGTTGGTTGCACTCTTGTCAAGACGGAGGCGCTTGAAACACTCCTTCTTCTCCTGAATAGCCCTTTGCACCTCGTCATTCCACCACCAATAGTCCTTCGCTTCCTGCTTGCCTCCCCTACTCACACCAAGGACTTCTGCAGCCACCTTCCATACACATGTTGCCATCTTTAACCACATGTCCTCTGCATCTTCTCCTTCTTCCCAAGGCCCCTCACCTAGCATCCTATCCCTAAACGTCTGCGCCGCTTCCCCTTTAAGCTTCCACCACTTCGTTCTCACGGTCTTGGCACATTTGTTCCGGTGGACACGTTCGGAATCGAAAATCCGCCACCACCAGCTTATGCTGGGGGACAACACACTCCCCAGGTATCACCAAATGGCGTCCGGCCCCGACGGCCGGTCGTGACCGGTCCGACCGACCGGACGCCATGTTTTTTTTTATATATAATAATATTATTATAAATTATTATGTTATATATTCAAAATATTTTTTTATATATTGGACGTTAGAATAAAAAAAAACTCATTCAACTGAAGTTTAGCAAATAAAAAAAACCTCTGCAATCGAAAATCGCACCAATGATATTTTTTTTTTCATTTTTAATTCGTGTTACAGATCATTCAACTTAATGTTTTACAATAAAAAAAAAAAAAAAAAAAAAAAAAAA